CCGTCGCCGTCCTCCATGTCGACCACGACGGACCACTCGAGGCCTTGCGCGTCGTCGGCCTGAGAGCCGCCCCCAGCGGGCGAACCACCGCACCGGGCCGACGTCCCATCATCCCCGAGGTCGCCGCCGTCCTCGCGGCCGTCGAAGGACATCGTCAGAGACGAGCGGGCCACCCACCCGACGCACCACCGCGATCGCGCCCGCCGCGTCACGTTCTGCACCGGTAGCAACAGCAGCGCACCGGCACGCGCGGAGGTCGGAAGCGATGTGATGCAGGAGGGAAGGGGCCGCCAGCATCATCGGAGGCGGTGGGGGCGGCAGGGGCGGCAGTGTAGCGCCCCGGGGTCGCGCCGCGCCCGGACACCCACCAAAACGCGGCCGAGCGCCCCAATCAGCAAATGTGTCCAAACCGCTGAGGGGGTTTGTACAGTTTGGCTTGCGGGGCGGGGACCCCAATCAGTAAGATGGCACCTGCCTAAAGGGCCAGGGGGGCCCAACCGCGTAAACCACCCCCGGAAATTTGGTGCCGAAGGGGTGGGAAAAATGATGGGGATGAAAAATGGAGGTGGAGGTGGTGGGCGTTCTACAGAGAGCCCCCTCATTGGCACAAGCGATATGGATCATCGCAAATAAGCAAACGGAAAATTTTATAGCCACAGCTATTGACGGTATATGTACACTGATTTTATTTTAGCTGGAGCGGCGTGGGCGAACGTCCTGGCGGTCCTTCGGGAGAGAAAGGCGAGCGAGATGAGGCTGGGAGGGCCTACAGCGGGCACCATACTGCTTAAAAACTTGCTAAGCCGAGTGTGCATAATTCAAGTGCGCGGGGCGTTGCGGGGCGGGGTATTCTGCGGCCTGGCTGGTCCGACCGGCCACACGCGCCACGCGCCGATGGATTAAAATGAGACCCTGTCGTATACAGTGGTGACAAAACAAAGCAAAAACAAAAATATTTATAACAAAAGATTTTTTTGGGAGGAAAAGCAAAAGTTGAAATCAGAGCGAGACGAAGCTGTGCTTTCCCTCTGGGAGGGGGGAGGGCTAGGAGGAAGTCTGGCGTATGGCGACGCGCCGACGACGCGACCCACTGAACTGTCACACCGCAAACGGAGAGTGAGCGGGAACGGCCTTTTGTTCGCGCGGCTCGCGATGCGATTCATATTCTCCCGCGCAATCCCGGCGGGGCGGGGCGGGGCGGGGTGGAGAGACGGACGTGCGAGACGTGCGGCGTAGAATGGCATCAGAAATGAAGGAGGATGCAGCACGCCTCCGCGCGGCAGTGCGGGGCGGGGCGGCAGTCGTAGCCTGCGCGGACCACCCCGGCAGACGGACGTGCAAAAACGGAGAGAGTGAAGGGGCTAGTGCTGCAAGCGAGCGCCCCGGCCGGCGGCCCCGACCTGAAGCGACCTGCAGCCTCCATTAGGGGATGCTCGGACGGCTTCCGGTCCGGGAAGGCCCGCGGCCCAACCTCGGGCCGCCCGGTCCGGACGGAGGCGGAAGGCAACGTGAACATGATACACACCTCGGTGGAAAATATTTGCAGTGATTTAACGGGAACATTTCTATCAAAAATGTTCTAAAGTAAAATTACAAATAGTAAAATTTTCTTGTTTTTTATGACACCAGCTAGCTAAGTTTGTGTCGACAAAAATTGTTTTGTTATTTAATATTACAACAAATATTGTCAATATTGACAAAAACTGGAGTAAAACGACACTAGTTGTAAATGTACACAGATATCTTTATCAGTGATCGTGGAGCACTCACCTCTCAGTCCCGTGCCGGCCGCGCTGTGCCTGGCGCGGACGTGCACCGCCGCGAGCATCGCCAGCAGCGGCAGTAACGTAGACCTGCAAGCAACAAATTATGATCAGGGATTCGGATGATGATTTTGTCTCTCATTCAATTAGCGTCACTGTAAAAATCATTGCTGAGCGAAACCCTCTCTGGGAAATTTTAAATCAATAACTTCTTTCTGCCAATTTGCAATACGCTATATGATATTCCAACATGCTTTGACTTCTAATTAACTCCTCGTTAGATTAGAGCCCCGGTATTATTCTTAAATATTTCGATATCTACTAAATTTTGACACATAGCCTGCTCAGATCTTGAGAGCGAACTATATGGGACTGGGATATGTAACTCCCAGACAGCGCCTACATATTGCACCAGTCAGAACTGTTTACGTAACCACAACCTAATTTGCTTCGAATAAGACCAGCAGTGGATGTGAAGATGAATACAAACTTACTGAACTGACAGACACTTTTTAAACAATAGTTTAAAATATCCAAGTACACTCCAATTTCAGGAAACCTTCCTACTGCATCAGACATCATGTTGACACCTACTTGTGAAATAACTCAACTTCATGTAGTTCAGTGGGGAGGTTAATAACCTCAAATGCCAACAAGTTTACCTGCATTTCCAACCATTGGCGACAGCAACACATTTTAATATGCCACAAGCACAAAATAAGATTCATTGCTGATTGTATTCTAATAGAAACAGCGACTGACACTAGTAAATAGTTTGAAGCTGTATGATAAATGGAATGAATTTTCTCCACAGGCGAACTGAAACAGCTGAAACGCGCGAAACGCGGCAGGAGGTGGCGCGCTCTGGTCTCTCATCGCGAAGTTCGACATTTTGGTCATTCCCTTTGACGTCACCGCTCTCTCCCGACGCCGGGCGCATTGAAAGTATGAAACTATTGGGGATGGTGCACGCGCCGCGCGTAACTGCGACTTCGACAAGTTGTCGAGCCGAACCCAGTTCTGCGACTGCAGTATTCTTCCGATTCCTCTAGCGCCGTTTGCTAGCCAGCATGGGCCACGTAGGTTTCGGGAAGGATTAGGCCCTTGCTGCTTGCTCCTTCACTCCGTTGAGCCCAGCACAACAGGCCACCGACGTGAGCCTAATCACAAGGCACCGCTGACGGAAGGTCCTGCTTCTGCTCGCAGGCGGCGACGTCGACGAGCAGGGATGTCGACGTGTCCCTCAAGGGAGAGCCTTGCCGGGGCAGAGGACGCCGACGTGGTCCTGGTCAGGGAGGGCGCCGCGAATGGGTCCTCTAGGGAGAGCCTCGCCGACCCGACGGCCAAGACGCCCTTGACGACTAGGCCGCCAACGTGGTCCTGATCACGGAGGGAAACGCTAACGGGGGAGTAGTGGACGTAAAACTAAGCTCACAAATTATTATTGGCTTTGTAAAGAATGGTTGTAAATAAATAAAATTATTCCAACATTTATATATGTAGTGTATAGACCACATTTTTTCACGAGTTTCGGAGCGGGAGTTGGACAGCTTATTAGGCTTCGCGTGCGCTTAAGCGCGAACGCGAAAGCCTTTAGGTCTCGTCAGGATGTTTCCCGGCCAGATTTTCGTGTACCCCCTGAGTCATCAGCATCCACCGGCCAGGCGGGCGAGGCAGCGAGCGAGGCAGTGCGTGGCTCGGCGCGGGGGGAAGGGGGGGGGGGCTTTTATGACTACTCGAGCGCTGTGCGGGTGTCGGGTTCCGCATATCGCCATGGACTGACCCTTCCCTCTCACCCGAACGAGTAGCAAAATTACTGTCGTATGGCGACAAATATGTAGCTCACTCGAGCTCACGACATACTCCCTGTTTTTCTAAGATCAACAAAATTTGAATGAAATTCGTAGGCCGAAGATGAGCTTGCGTCTCTGGGCTCTGGATGGCGACCGAGGG